CTGCAAACTCCCCTCCCCTTTCGCTCCTCTTTATTCCCTATGGGAAGGGCCATTCACCATTTACCTGTGCCTTTACTCCCGAGTCGGCCCTTGTTCCTTAGCTGTCCCCTTCTCCTGATAGCTCTGTGCATGTGCACATCGGGAACAGGCTCCAGCTGTTGTTCTGCCCCACTGATATCCGACTCTGAAGGCAGCTGATAACTGCCGGACAGCCCTAGCCCTATCTCTGCCTCCAATGCAGAGCCCTCATCAGAGCCTTCCCCAAACTCCAGGACTGGCCCATGTTCTTCCCCAACCTCCTCACTGTCTGAGTTTGCTACCAGCTGTGCTGGCTGCTGGCGGGCCACAGCAGTATTTTGCAACTTGAGGAATATGTTAATGCAGTGTTATTTAATAGCATTGACTAACAAAGAGTGCACTCCTGATAAATAATTTGAAATGCCACTAAAGGGGTATCAGACAAATTTGCAGCAATCTCCTGTTAGGCAGCATGGCAGTTCTTTAACTGGAAAACAAATGCATATCTGCCATTTATCAGGAATGAACAAGAGTGCAGCTTGGCGATCATTTTAGTATGCGTGCTCATTATTTTTCCAGGCCTGAAATCCTGAAGCAGGAGATCAAGGTTTTTTTTGTGAAATACAACGACCCCATCTACGTGAAGCTGGAGAAACTCGATATCATGATTCGCTTAGCATCCCAGGCCAACATTGCTCAGGTCAGTCTGGGACCCAATGGGTCTCATTTCACATTTGCCTAGAAAATTTCTCCCAATAAATGCTTTGACATTAGCTTTGAGGTTACTTGTAATCCCTGACCACCACCCCATCTTGGGGCCTCAGGGTGACATTGTGACAAATAACAGGTTTCTTGACTCTGTCCAACTCCCTGCCTTCTTTAGTTCTTTCCTCTGACAAGCCTGCATGTTGCATGACCTAAATATTCTTAGACAATAATAAGGGTGTGGCTACGGCCCACTGCTTGGTTGGCCTTCTGATAAATGGATCTAAGGGTATGGCCATTCCTACCCTGAGAGTTCTTTGATGAGAATGCCCAGTACATGGTACCAGCATTCCAAATCTTCCCACCGTCTTAAATTGATTACGGTCTCCTGCTGTAATACATTTGCAATGTGTTTGTATTTCGGTTCTGATCTAGGCTTCCCCAAAAAGCACGAGGCAGACTCCTGGTCCTGACAAAACCCCTTTTGTTAAATGAATGTGAATTCCTCTCATTCACATTCAGCAAGGCCTGGCAAACAATCTTTCAAAGGAATAAATATGACTACGGACCTTATCTATCTTGGAAAGCTGCCATGTAAATGTTTTACAAATGAGGTGCTGTGCAAGGAAAGGCTGGGCACAGAGTCTCTGAGAATCACGGACAGATTTTCACACTCCTGAAACGAATCTAACAACCGAACAAACGAATTGTTTCCTGCAAAAGTGCACTCCCCTTTCACTCCTCTTTTATTTCCTTTTTATTGGATCATATCAGTGGCAGTAAGCCAATAGGGGACAAGAGCAACAAGAAATGGTGCCGTACTCTGATTTGATCTGAGTTGGGGTTTTTTTTAACGTATTCCCAACAGGTTTTAGCAGAACTGAAGGAGTATGCCACAGAAGTGGATGTGGACTTCGTACGCAAAGCCGTTCGTGCCATTGGACGATGTGCCATCAAAGTTGAAGTGAGAAGCTTTTTTCTTCCTTGGTTTTGCTTTTGTGTTTGAATTGCTACAGCCATCTGAACTTCAGTTCAGGAGATGAACTGTAAGGGTTAGCCTTTGAAAACAAATAATGTTAAAAAACATAGTTGACATCATATAGGTGGCCCAGGTGTAGATCACTTGGTGTGACACACAAGCAACACAGTCAATTCTGGTGGATTCATGATGTCAGGTGTTGGAAGATGAGGTCAAAAACGGGAAATGAGGTAGCTGCAATTGTGGGATCAAATCTCTGCCCCTTTTCACATGCTTTGAGGTTGTTGTTGTTGTTTGCTTTGTCACACCTCCTTGCGGGGCAGCCCTGCACCAAAAATATGGTTGGGGAATAGAGTACTTGAGTGTAGTAAATGCTTTTTCTTACTCATCCTAAAAGAGAACATTTTCAGCATTTTGATCTTCACTTCACACTAAAAAACATATACGTCAGCTTTCAGTCCTTTGGGAACACCTGTCTTTTGTTGTTCTCTCTGCTTTCAGAGCCCTTGATTTAGACAACACCGTTCAGTCAGCAGGGAACTGTTATAATTTAAAATGCATTTATCTCTGGAACAGACTGACCTCCTCTACCACTACTGCCCCCCCCCCCCAACTCCCTAGCTGTTCTTCTAACAGTAAACATTGTTTGATGTTTCTTGAGCTTAACCGGCATAGGAGCCAATACTGGGAATTTTTTTTTTCCTTAGAAAAAGGGCAAATATTTGGGGTGAATCGGGAAGATTTCATGTTCAGCTAATTCAGCAGATAGCAGTTTCAAAAGGATTACTATTTAGATGACGAATTTCTAGTTTCTAAGGCAAATAAGGGAATGCCTGACTTTTCCATAGGATATATCAGTGCTCTGCTATTAGGCTACACAGATAGTTGACTTATGACCACAGTTGAACCCAATATGGCTGTTGCTAAATGAAACTGTTCTTAAGTGAGTTTTGTCCCATTTTATGACCTTTTTGCCACAGTTATTAAGTGAATCACTGCAGTCGTTAAGTGAATCATACAGTCGTTGAGCAACTCTTGTTTCCTCCATTGGCTTTGTTTGGTGGGAGCTAGCCAGAAATACATGCCACTTGCCCAGTGGGCGGATTTTGATCACGTGACCATGATAACAGTCATAAATGTGAAAAACGGTCATAATTCACGTTTTCGATGCCCTTGTAACTTTGAACAGTCACTAAATTAATGGCTGTAAGTTGAGGGCTAAGCTGTAATTTTTTCCCCCCTTACACATGGAAACTCACCTAAACATTGTAGCTGTCAACTTCTAAAGCATTGCCATGACTATTATCAGGCTGGCATGGAAGGGGAAATTCCATGCATGTCTTCGGCCGGAGTTGGATCTCATGTTTACAGCTTAGTTGGAGAATATGAGTTATGACACAGGATAAAAGGGAGGGGTTACAGGGGTAAAGTTCAAACGCAATTAAGTGAAAGCAGTTTTAGCTCCACAGGAGTCTATGCCAGAATGTTGATCCTAATAAATGATTGGATTTCTTTTGAACTTTGTCTCGAGGTTCGTAAATTAATTAGGTTGTCTTCTGGGAACTTCGCAGTAGCATTCGAAATAAAGGAAGATATTTTATTGGCCATCGGGCGGTAGTTTAGGGTTAGATAATTGGTTGAGACGGGGGGGGGGGGGCTTCCCCAGGATTTCTTTAGCAAAAATGCTGGGGATTAGTTCTCACTGCATTTCCTAGGGCACTGATTCGTGTTGGACAGACTCTTGCATCAACAGTGGTTTCTACTAAACCGGAATATTGAAACGTATGACAACCATGGGAAAAATACCTGTCTTCAGGAAGGGCTGAATGTCAAGGCTCCAACTAAGGAACTCAAGCAAATCAGAACCCTGAGACTTGGCTCCTTCTCAATATGATGTACTTTAATGAGTATGTCATATTGACACAGCTTCCATGGAAAACCAAATCTAAATCTTTCCCACTTTTTCAGTATAATTAAACTAGGAAATAACCCTATTTTTTCTGACCTAGGCTTCCTTAAAAAGCAAGAAGCAGAGTCTTGATCCTGGCAAAACCACTTTTATTTACACAACTGTGAATTCCTTTCATTCACAGTCAGCAAGGCTTGGCAAACAGAGGAATGTTTATCAAATACGAACCTTATCTCACTTGGAGAGCTGCCAGCTAACTAGTTTCCAAATGCAGGGCAAGGCAACACTTGGCACAGACTCTTTTATAGTCAGAAACAGAACTTTCCACTCTCGAAACGACTGAAGGGATGAATTGTTTCCTGCAAAAGCCCACTCCCAGTTTGCTCCTCTTTTGTTTCCTATGGGAGGGGGCAGTCATGTCCAACGTGTGGCTTTACTCCCTTGTCTTCTGCACATGCTCACACTGGGAATAGGCTCCAGCTGTTCCTCTACCTCACAGCTGTCTAGCTCCCTCTCTGTCTCCATCACAGAGCCCTCATCTGAGCTTTCCGCAGCCCCCAGGACTGGCCCATGTTCCTCCCCAACCTCCTCACTGTCTGACTCTGCTGCCACCGCTGGTTGCCAGCAAGCCACAACACTTATCCCCAAGTGTCACAGATCACGTTGGCCAATTGAGTTAATTGCCACTCCTTTCCCAACCTTATCTGTTGACAGTGGACATAACCTCGGTTCTCATGAAAAAGCTTTATGAGGCACAATCCTTGTTGTGTCTCATAAAGCATTCCAACCTTCTTCCCCCCTGTGTGGCAACTGAGGAACAGAGAGATGGCTGTGGCCAGGTTCAGTTTGAAGTTGACACTGATTTAGTTATAAGGCCGTCAATATGCATAATGACAGGTGAGGAAAGGTAGTGCTCTCTGTTCATATGATTGGAAAGAGGCATGACACTAAAGATGCACAGTCATTCATTCATACTGTGCCTAAGACAATTTCTATAACTTTAAAAAAATATTAACAGTGTTAGCAGCAAAAGTATTCCAAGTATAGTATGCAATTTGCATTAATCAAATATACACTGAAATGTCTCATTTCATGCCACTTAGGGAAGTTTGCCATGCAAGAATAATTTCTTGTGAATGAGTGGAACATGGCCTCTGCTTTGTGATTTCTAAAAAGGGAGATCTTTAGTTTAGTTTAGTTTAGTTTAGTTTAGTTAGTTTACTTTATTGTCATTGCACCTCATACAACAAAATTAAATGCCATCTTCAGTGTACATTATGCATAAAATAAAATAAAATAAAAATACACATCCTTCACATTCTATACAATTGTACTGAAAATCCCTGATATTGCATTAATATTGCACTATACAGTAGGTCTTCTAATAATAAGGGGTTTTTAAGCCAGGAGATCACAAGGATTGTCTGGCTGCTCTTGTGGAAGAATCGACCAACTCTGTGTCGTTGCCCAGGGGATGCCCAAGTTTAAGATTCCTACATTCTTCCAAAGCAGACAGTGCGACATATTTGTTCCATTTATGAGGAAAACCCCAGCGATTTTCTGTATGCAGCTCCATCATGTATTAGCTAACCTTTTTGGTACCGAGTGCCGAAATGGGAGCATGCACATGCGTGCATGCCGGAAACCACAAGAGCAGCCACGAGGTGTGCATGCGCACGCTGGGAAGATGATCTTCCAGTTTCTGGCACGCGCACCAGCCAGCTGAACGGTCGCTGGCTCGCGTGCCCAGAGAGGGCTCTGCATGCGACTTCCGGCACGCATGTCAGAGGTTCTCCATCATGGGACTATATAAATAGTCTACTTTTAAATTTATGAAAACAGTAAATAGTTTCATATTTGCTCCTTGAGAATGTAATTGTGATGTGCTTTTTAACATTTTTTGCCCTGCACTAAATAAATAAATAAATCTAAAACAGGGCATGGATGTGGTACGGGTAGGTGAAGTTGTAGAATTGTGAGGCCTATCCAGGTTAGCCTTTCTACTTGAGCTGACTTGAAAGATCTCTGTTCTGCTCTGTCCTTTTTGACAGCAATCTGCTGAGCGTTGTGTGAGCACACTTCTGGACCTCATCCAGACCAAGGTCAACTATGTAGTGCAGGAAGCCATTGTGGTCATCCGAGACATCTTCCGCAAGTATCCCAACAAGTAAGTACAGCTACCAAGTGAAGTGTGCAGAAGCAACCTTGCCGATACTAATTGTGGCTGACCTAAAGGGTGCCAGTTTGTATGGACTTTAGGTGACCTAGTGGAGGAACACCTGAATACGTAGGGACAGGGCAACTTAATTTGAGAAAAATCAAGTGGCATTGACTAAATATTCAGAATCACAAAGTGGGGAGGGAATGTAGAGTTTGTTTAGTCCAAGTCCAGTTCCATTAGAGCAGGGGTCCCAACCAGGGGTGCTTGCATCCCCTGGGGGTGTGAGGTGATATTCCAGGGGGTGTGAAAACTTGGGTTTAGACGTTTCAAAACTATATATGCATAATTATATGCATGTAATTATTTACTATTTTAAGGGGAGCGAGAATATATCAGAAGCATTCTAGGGGTGCTGGGTATAGAAAAGGTTGGGAACCCCTGCATTAGGGCATTTCTGACAGATGACCAGTCATACATCCTGTGAAAAAGAACTCAGCACTTCATGTGGCAACCTGTACTACAAATTGACAGCTTGTACAATCAGGAAGTTCCTCATGAAGTCTAGGCTGAACTTTATGGTTTTAACCCATTGGTTCTGGTCCTTCGCTCTGGGGCAGTAGAGAATAATCTCACTTGCATTTAATAGCTTTTTAGAGTCTTAATTATATTTCCCCTCAGTCACCTCTCTTGTATACAAAATATGCTTGGATATATTAAATGTTCTTTAAAGAGCTTGGTATACCCAGACTCCTCACCATTTTGGTAGTTTTCTTTTGAACTTGTTCCAATTGGTCAATATCCTTTTTAGACCTGAGTATTCAGAATTGGACACAATACTGCAGGTTATGTCTGACCAGGGCAAAATAGATAGGAAAAAATATTTTTCATTTGCCTTCTTAGCATCTGAATCACAGAGCTGGCTCATATTGAACTTGTGGTCAACAAAGATAACCAGTTTCCTCTGATATGTACCACTGCTGAAACCTAATCTGTGTTTGCTCAACTCATCTACATGCCTTCTTCATTAACACTAGCAATTGATGACTTGAAATACTAATAATTATTTGAGAGCTGGAAAGCAAGCAGGGGACACACTGGGATGAACTGTTTTGCATAGTCTTCAAGTAGACAAAGGAAGCGACTTGATAAACAGAGGGGCAGGCGATTATTAAAATGGATTAACAATAGTTAAAACCAAGATCTGAAGACCTTGGAGCAAAAAGGGGGTGAATGTAAGGTTTGTTTTGGGAGGGGGGAAAAACAGAGCACAAGAAGGTTTGACAATAATAACCTTATCCAACTCTGCCTTGGTTATTTTAGGTATGAGAGTATCATTGCCACACTTTGTGAAAACCTTGATTCTCTGGATGAGCCAGATGCCCGAGCAGCTATGATCTGGATTGTGGGCGAATATGCAGAGAGAATTGACAATGCAGATGAGCTCTTGGAGAGCTTCCTGGAGGGCTTCCATGACGAAAGCACCCAGGTAACACTGATCTCTCCATATTCCTGTCTCAGTTCTTTTGAAGGAAGAAACTGGATCTTTGATTTCAGCAGCTTGATAACAATAGGACTTAGTACTTAGACTTATATACTGCTTCATAGAGCTTTACAGCCCTCTCTAAGCGGTTTACAGAGTCAGCATATTGCCCCCAACAATCTGGGTTCTCATTTTCCCCACCTCAGAAGGATGGAAGCCTGAGTCAACCTTGAGCCAGTGAGATTTGAATTGCTGAACTGCAGCTAGCAATCAGCTTTGCAACTTTTGCAACTTTGCAACTTTAATAAGATTTGTATGCCGCCCACTCCCTAGGGACTCTGGGCGGCTCACAACAAAAGCAA